GCGTCCTAGGTTTTCGAACAGAGCAGTTGTTATGATTGTTTAAATGTATGAAATCTTATTGTTAGGCTCTTTTAATTTAATCCTAAATGCAAACAGTGTTGCTATACGTAGAATATTTGAGTTGAAATATTTGAATAGCAACACTCACGTAACTTTAAAGATAAAAAAAGAAATTTGGTCTGAGTAAAACTTTAGTTTACTTCAACCTCTCACATCCAAACCTTAACCCTATTCTTGTATTGACACGTGTTTTATGCAAATAAAAGAGGTATGGTAAAAAATTAATAAATAAATAAATATTTTTTAAAAAGCGGTATGGTCGAGTCCGGAAGACCTTGAAGGCAGCATCTAAACGGAAGTGACGTACGTGGTTGTCAAGGAAGCGATTCATGTTTACGGAATCTCTTTTTTACAAAAACGGTAGTCCACGTTATCTCATTTTGTCTGTATAGTTGTTCTGTTTTTCTGTATTTAAGTGAAGAGGAGTCTTTTTAAAACAGAATCCAGGCAACTAAACAAAGACGTGTATTTGCTCTTGGAAGGAAAACGAAAAGTTTCGGAAGCTAATGATGGAAAGCGTTCCTCCTACTGGATCATTTATAGTACCTGACTGGCATCGATGTAAAGAAAGCAAGGAATATTTCAACAAAATATTGCACAAGAAGAAACAAAGACAGTTTGGTAATTATTAGTATTTCCAATTTAGAATTTTGGCTTTGTTTTCAGCTTTAGTTCATACCCAGCCCCTATATAATTACATTCACTGCGAAATATTTACATCTTCAGATCTTCCAGCTCCATGTCTTGTCTTTGTATCAGTGCCATCATCCTGAAATCACACATCATGGCAGATCTGCTCACTGAAACCATAAGCCAGCTCCATTATGGTGCCACTGGCCCTAGTTGTTTTTGTTGAACATGCTTCCTTCTAGTAAATTTTTAGCGCTATTATATAATTTAAGATCATCAGTACGCAGATAAGATTGATTTAGAATTATCTCTCATATGATCCCATGTCACACGCTTAGGCTATGTAAAAGAGTTGGATATCTGTAAAATGTCCCCACCTCAAAGAAAAAAACTAAACTAAATTGCTTGTTTGTTTGTGCTCTTGAACAAGTCTAACAAAAATGTTCAGATTTGTTAAATTGCCATGTGTAATATTTGCTCTACTAATGCTTTTATATGCATTCTTATAGCTCTAGAATAGCCTTAGAAACATACAGTTCTCTGCCATCAGGATTAAGATGTGTTCTGAATTGTGGCTAATTGCCAATTCTTTTAGAAAATGTTATCTTTTCTAATTGTATTTATTTCTAATGGTGGCACATAAGCATGTTTCTACCTTTATGCTTTGATCTTGAACTGCCCTTTCATCCTCTTCTTACCTTTGTACCATGTTAATCTAAGTATCAGGGTAGGATATTGTGACTAATGAATAACAATGTTTATAGATTTTTCAGATAATTGCATAGATCTGTTAACCAAAGACTGATATTGGATGAAGAGGTTATACTGCATTATACCCAAGTAGTTAGGCTGTATATTTAAAGTAAACATGCAAAAACAATACATAACAAGGAAATTATTATTCAATGTCCAAAATTATCATTACCGTATATAAGGTGTTTTGATGTTCATCGGGCAAACCAAAGTAAATTTTTACATTTTTACAAAGGTTTATATAACAGAATCTGTTTTAATGTCCCTGGAAATATGGGGATTTTCACCAGTTCAGACCTTTCAAATTTGTACCTGATTTCTGAGATCTTGAACACCACAAAAATCTCATGTATGAACTTATATTAGCATTACAAGCATTTGGATCATTTTGATTCTCCTTAAAAAGGTCTGTTGGAGTCTCCCATGATGCCCCCGCATGCAGCAGTGGACACAGTTCATTATAAGATTTTCATCTCCGGTAAGAGCGGAGTCGGGAAAACTACTCTTGCTGCCCGCCTCGCTGGCTTGAATATTCCCAAAATGCACCATGAAACTACAGGTAGGTTTGATTTTCAGTGTAGATCATTTTATACTTATAAAGATGTTTGCTTTAAAACCTTATACAATTTCTCTGATGCTGTTGGAGGTATTCAGACCACGGTGGTTTACTGGCCTGTGAAGCTGAGAGAAAATGGCAGAGTGCTTTTCTTTCGTCTGCAGCTGTGGGACTGCGGAGAGAACGCCTTACGCAGATTTGATCATTTGCTCCCGGTATGTATTAAATATCAAATGTTTGCTTGCAGCCTCAGTTTAGAAGAAACTGAGACTTAGACATTGACCCCCTAATGTTTCCCATTGTCTCTCTTCCAGTCCTGTCAGGAACAGGTGGATGCCGTTCTGTTTCTTTTCTCCTTCACTGACAGGACTTCCTTTGAAGATTTGTCCAATCAGATTCTTAAATGGACTGAACAGTCTGATGGCTGTCTTGTCAAAGTGGTGGTTGGCACAAAGTATCCTTAACCTGCTGCAACAAAGCTGTACTGTCCTTACATTTTAGCTGTTTTGGCAACCTGTGTACAGTGATGCCATGCAAACTTTTAAGCTTGACAGAATCAAAAGGATGCTGGTAGAACCTACCAGGAATCAGTGAAAAGTTGCATATTTCTTCCTTAACGCTCACTTCAGGTTTGACCTCTTCATGCACTGTGATGTAGCAGAGAGAGACCTCAGAAAATTCCAGGAGACCTGGAGGATACCTGTTCTCCGTTCGGGGGGAGAAGTCAGCGACGGGCTGGGTGACGTAGCCCTGATTCTCAACTGCCTCGCTGAGAATCTGTGGCATCAGGACTGTGTTAAAGCAAGAGCAGTCAGTCAGCATCCGCAACATGAGGCAGGAGCTCTCATTTAAGGCTCAGGTCAAAGCCTTTTCAGTACAAGACAGAACTTAAAGTGGCAGCTACCATCTTATTAGACACAGTTATGACAAGAAGTGTCAAGAGAGGATTTCTATGACCTGACATATATAATGGATCTTTTTAGAAAAAAGTTACAAGCTCATATTTTTATATATGAACCATTTCTGTAGATTCTTCCTCTGTATTTTATGCCAAGATGATTAAGTAGTCCATGAACCTTTTAGGTTTTCGCTAATCTGAGTTCAGCTAGTGGGAAAACTAGCATAACTGCATGCAATAACTTGTTGGAATGCATCTTAAGGAAACCTGTCTCACAATTTGATAAATCAGTCAGCTATGTTCTATACATAACTACAATGCAAAATCAACTGAAGCTTCAATAGGGAAACCATTTGAAAAGAATGTCACTTAGCATTAATACCAGTTTATTGCCATAGATCACAGCTTGACTTAAAGATGCATGAATCAGAATTTCAGGTACCATCTTGCAAACGTTCAGTGTCAAGTTCTCATTTACTGAACTGTAACTTTGTTTACCAACTTAAAAATTGACCATGAAGTATTTTGGGCTTTATAAGATTAATAATTTTTTTTGCAGATATAGCCTTTGTCTTCAATGTTAATGCAGCTAAATTTAAGATTGTGTTTCATGTGAATTTTGAAAAGAATATTAAAGTCTTTGTAGAGGCCAAGCCAATGCATTAAGCCACTGAGGCGCATTAATAGTTGACGCGCTGCTTGCTGTCTTGTCAGAAGAATTATAGAGTCCACACTGCTGATTGTGCAGATCATCCATTTTATTTTCTTACATTTATTCCATTTCCACTCTTGACATATTTCCATTATTTCCATACGTCCGTTGACAGCCTAATACTTCAGTAATCAAAAACTGTTTAGTCCTTCTGGGTGAACACCCGTCTCATAAACAAAAGGTTCCGTACTTCTAGACAGATTAACCAAAAATGTAATCACCCTGCTCCTATAGTGTTGACAGGATAGGTTGTATTCAAGAATCAAAAACTGATTTTGAACAGTCAGCCCTCTCAGAAAGGCATGATTAACCTACCTGCAGTATTTAAACCTACATTTCTAAGAGATAAAAATAGGTTTTAAGTTGATAAATAGATCAATTAGCACATTTCACCAATGATTTTAACGTTTTATTTTATTTAGAATTTACACATTATGTAGACCACATCCGATTATGCTCAATGTTTTCCATGTTTGGCCCCAAGTCAAAATAAAAATTCACTTTTATCCCTCTGATCAATCGTAAAGTCTCTCCTCAGCCCTGAAGAGATTAGGCTGTTCCATCCAATCGCTACAGCTTAAAGAGGCAGTTGCAACCCCCTGACAAAAGTACATACTGTGTATGTATATTGCATTTATGTAGTCCATTTATGGGGCCTCCTGCATGTGGCTCAGTTTTTAAAAAGAAGCGAAAGTTGCTCAGTTATGTCATCCAGGTTGGTTTTGTAGCTGCTGCAAGTTATGATTCAACCAAGGGGAGACTTGTGACTTTTAACATCTGCGGTACAAGTTGTTTTACCACAGGATGATTTTTTTTATTGAACCGCTATACAATTTCAGACTGATTATAAAAATCTTTATTCATAAAACATATTGCTTAAATTAAGAAAAATTGTGAAACCCTTTGAACTTCCTTCAACATTTTGGAACATTTCTACAAAAGTGCCAAGAACTGATAATTTAGGTGCACCCAGGTGTGAAGAATTTAACATGAAATGAGGGATAAAACTCTAAAATACAAAAAAGATGCAACTTTTCATTTAGAAACAGCCATTACTTCTTAGAAAGGGCCTTTATCCATTCCTCCTTATCGAAGCTGCAAAAAAGTATAAAAGATTTACTGCCAGTTATGATACATAAATTAAAAACTTTTTTCCCCATTTTACCTTCCATTGGCAATCAGAATCATGGTAGTCAAAGGTCCCATCTGACTCTCAGACAGCATCAACAGGAAGGATTCTGGAGGAAGTCCCACAACTTTACTCTGCACAACGTTCACATGTTGAGGGAAGAGAGCGTAATCCAACACAGTGAACCGCTCATACCTGGATGTAACAGAACACAGGGTAACCTTATTCAGTTAGAAAGAAATCTGCCTGAACATCGGTAGGTTGAGCAGGTCATGTACTTTTTTGAGGAGATCAGCAAGAGGTCGTTGAAGAGATGGAGGTAGATGCGGTTGATTGACATTTTTGAACCGTAACTCCCCAAAGTGGCCAGGGGTCCATGGTGAATCAGAACGCGTGTGCTTTTCACTAGAGGGACTGACTGATAGGGAAAGAGATGCATTCAGAGTTACCAAGTCATAGGGCTCCATATGAACTCAGCAGAAAATTGTTGAAATAACACCTTGATGTCAGCAAAGTCCAGCAGCATTTCCAGGCGGACGAGTTCCTCCAAAGATTTCATTTTTTCCACCTTCTGGTCACACTCCACCAAAATCTTTTCAGGTAAAGAAATCCAAAAACACTTTATCGTTATAAAGTGACAGTAGCATTATGGAGTAGAAGAACATAATTGAGTTTTTCTTAAAGGTCAAATCAGAGGTTCCCTCATCTTGATAGATTTCATATAATTTAGAAGGAAATTAAACAATGCAGGGTTGGGATCTTTGGCTTACTTTAAAGTGGAAATTGAAGCCCTTAAACCAGTGAGTTTACAGCAGTGTTTATAATAATACTCTCTGTTGACTAAAATCGGAAATTATTTATGTTTAAGTCTGCAGCATTTACTTGTAAATAAATATGAATAGGATTTTTTTCCCCCCCAGACAGACAATTTGACAAACAACAAGAAATTACCAAATACACACAAAGACTAGGTGACATCAACCGAACTAAAAGCAAATTTCCAAACTAACCAAGTTCACCTGAACATAAATAGAAACAAAATCCTCCACAGCCTGAGAAATGACAATCGACTAATGGAAATTGAAAAGAGGTATGAAGTATTAAAACTTATTTTTCATACCTTCCGGTTCAACTTTTTTTCCAACACACACACACACACACACACACACACACACACACACACACACACACACACACACACACACACACACACACTATTTATACATGTATACAATTACCTCATGAATGCCCTTTATTGCCTTTGTAAGATTTGAAGCTGCTTCAGAGTTTGGCTCTGTCAGTTTCAGGATGCCCTGAAAGTAAAGAGTTGGGATTAAAAGCATTGCATCTGAAAAAAAAAACCAGCCATTGATTAAAAAAAACTAACTGCAGCTTTACCTCTAGTAGAAGTTTAATCCGCGTTATTCTTTGGAATGGTAGAACCAGGAATGATTTCAGTCTCCGTTTCTGACAGACTGGGTCATCCTCTAGTCTCTTGAGAGCGTACACAAAGTCTTTGTTTTCCTGCCTAAATAAAAGATTTCCCTTTGTGATGATAGCTGATGTTTATAGTACTCTCACATCTGAGTTGATAGTTAATTCTAAATGCATCAAATGGGAGCCTCCATTAGAAAACCCAAGACATATGGAGGCATTTCCATGTTACACAATAAATTACATTCATTGATTTCCATGAAGTGGGCTGTGCTTGTATGTCTAGTGCTGTATTCATCCATGTTAAACATACAAAACTTTGAGAGAAAAAAAAATTCTCCTGCAGTATCTTATGAAAATAAATTAAGGAATAATTGATTGTCAGCTTTATTTTAACCTAAAAACAACATTTTCCTCTGAGGGAGTGTTGCCCTAGTGGTTAAAGCAGAGCTCTTATGCTCCGAGAAGGTTGCAACTACCCAGTTGGATCCCCACAACCTGCACTCTGGGTCCCTGAGCAAAACCCTTAACCCCAGACTGCTCCCTAGGTGCCACACAATGGTAGCCCACTGCTCCCTAAGGGGATGGGTTAAATGTAGAGGTTAATTTCTCAAATGCGAGTAAATAAAGTTAAATTATAATCATGAAATTATGCATTAAAGCCAGATTTTTCCCAGTTTCTTCAAAAGCACCTGTACATTAAGGATTTTAAAATGTAGTGCAATTCATTGTAAACATGGAAACTTTTAGTCCAACTAAGTCATTTTCTTTTCCACTATGTTTAAACATATTGTGAATATCCAGGTAACCCAGTGCCAGCCGGTTAAAGAACATGCTTACAGCAGTTGGTTGACAAGGGACTCCTGAAACATCATGTTGGTCAGATATGGCACATATTGCCGCTGAAAGTTTCCACAGTGCAGCAGCACAATGTCTCCAACTTGAAATATCATCACGCTTTCTCCCAGTCTGGCTTCCAGGTCCAGAAAGAATCTTAAAAAAACAAACAAACAAAAACACCAGTTCAAGCCGTCAAAAATAATGATTGATGCTGGCTAAATATAAAACATCGCAGTTGTATTTGAGGAACTCGCCTCATATTTGCTTGCATCACATGGCGAATGTTGCAAAACAAAGTACGATGCTCCATTTTGGATATAGTCTTCTTCAACTCATTTGATGCATAGAAATGATTGATGACCACTCCAAGGCTCTTCAGATAAGACCCCTCAGAGGCTACCAGCTCAAACATGGACTTTTAAAGCAGAGAAAAATTTGTCAATTCTAAACCTGGAATGGTCTTCGACATTTTAAGCAACGCACCTCCTGAAGGATGATCTGTTTTGGCGTCAAGATTTTGAGCAGATCAGATGCTTTCACCTCTTCCAAGTCTTGCCAGAGTGTGCAAGACGACAAGGCAATATTGGGAAGTTGAGCTGGGGAGAACTCATCAGAACTTGTAGCTACAGAAGAACCTCGAGGCTTAACAGGGCTCAAAGCAAAAGCTTGTTCAACAAAAGGCCGAGTTGGGGATGAATTAGGAGACTTTCGGGGGGATGAAACTCCATTAAACGCATGGCGCCTGATAGCAGACCGCCGGGCGTGAAATGTTGGAGGGGGTGAAATTGACTCTGGAGTCAGATAAGGAGATGAAACATCCAAATTTTTTCTATGCTGGAAAGATGAAAACACACTCTGAACAGACTCAGTCATCCACTGCTCAAACAAAAAGACATTGTCGTTTTTTTGGATCTTGTCTCTGGCAGCCTGTAGAAAGTAGTCCTGATACAGTGGGACTGCACGGAAAACAAAGGTTAGGGAAAGGAAAAAAAAATGTTGCATAGATTATTCAGTTTAGAAAAGAGGATTTAAACTCACAAAGGCTGATGTACTTGGACTGGACAAATAAACTCTGCAGTTCATCCTCATCTGAACTCATTTCCCTGGATTTATTAGAGGCCTCATTTAGTTACACAGCGATTCAAAACAAAGTACAGATTTAACACCTTCATTCACCTTTCTTCCAGACCATCTGGACTCTGCAAATCCCACTTTTGTTCCAGGGGGGTAGGCATCATAGCTGCAGACAAATCTATTGGAGGGCTAATGAGAAAATGCATCAATCAGGAATCTTATATTACTAAAACTCTGTTTCTTTCACATAAAAATGATTAGGGAGGAACCTGTAATCTTTAGGATGGTCTGTAGTGTCCCCGCTTCCAAGAAATTCGTTTTTTAGATTAGAAGTCTCAGAAGGAATGTTATATCCTGGCTCTAAATCAGATCCAAGATAAGCTATTATATCTGGTATAAAGCCATAGCTGCTGGCTTTTCTTTCTCTGGGGTGAGAAAAGTCCATAATGAATGAAAGTGCTTTCTCCAACAAGTTTCTAACTTCTGCTTCGATTACTATAATGGAAAAAAAACCTACTGTGGCAACAGAACCGGTCAAACTAAATAGCTTTTTTATCCACTTGGATCCAGTCTGAGCTCTGGGCAGCAATCACTATAAGTAGAAGCAGGTGTGGCGTTTCCTCCTGTTTAATCAGATGCTGAAAACCCCTGGTGTTCTTATTAGAACTGTACTCTCTCTTTATATGGAGAACATATATGTTTATCTCATTAATTCTATTTCATTCAGTTTATCTAAAGCACCAGCTCAATGCATCAAGATGGAAACTTTAAAGAAATCCCTCATCTTTAGCAAATGTGTGAACAACAGGAAGGATACACCATCAGCTGCAAAATGTCAACAGAAAGGAGAACTACTATAAACAGATCTGATGGCTAATACAGCCTGAAATCAAGGGCATAGGTTTGATTTCAACTTTGGTAGGGACACTGTTGGTCTGATGTCATTGGTCCTATGCAAAAATATGCATGCTCGTTTTTTTATGCTTAACAGGAAAATCAGGGTGTATTTAATTTAAAGAGAAAAGCAGCATTTCTTGCTAGATTTATACAAATTTTATAAGCACTACACACTTTAGATGCTGTTTATCAATGACTGAAGCTTAACTGGCTTTGATGAATGAGGAATTTTGACTTTTTTCCTCTTTGAAAAGGTTTGCATTTTAAATTACCAGTGCCAGCAGCAGGTACATCTGTGCCTATTTAACAGAACATAGTCTAAATATGTCTGCTATATGTGGATTTTTACTTTTTTATGTAAGTTTATACTTTTTTCCCCCCATTTTGAAGATATAGAATTGTGCATAGGTAAATAGAGGTAAAACCCACTCTTTTAAATGTTCTCTCTGTATCATGAAACAAATAACACAGAATAGATTCAAGGGACGCCAAATAAAGTTATTGTATTTATAAGTGCACTGGAACTAGAAGAGGAACTGACACTGAGCATTTAATATATTAACCTCACTCTACAAGCTGTACATCTATGATGTAGTTACTCTGTTTAACCCGTTTAATGTATTTTATTTAGGGCTGAAACAATTCATCGGATTAATCAATCATTGAAATAATGTCAACAAATTTAGTAATCGATTAATCGTTAACTGGGGTATAGAGAATCTGAAACATGTCTTTAGCTCACAGAGCGACCCACTTAGAGCAGGAATTACACCAAAATTGTAAAAAAATGAAAATTCTGCATTTTAGATAAAACATGTTTTCGTCTGTCAATATTCTCCATCCAGAACTCCTCTACTGCTGCAACAAAGCTGTACTGTTAATTATAAACATGTTATTCACATCTAATTGTTGGTAGTGACATGTCCCTATGCAAACCTACGCCATGCCTGAAATCCATAGTTTTTGCACTTAGTACTTGATCTAGCTTCTAATGCATAATCTACTGTAGTATGTTAGAACAGTGTGCCAAGGAGGTGATCTTGCTGACGTATTAAGGAAACCCAGGGTTCTTTGAAAGCAACCACTCAGCTTTTTCTTAATACTCTACCCATAGGTCCAATCCAGCCCAGTGACATTAAACCAGGTATTGATACTTCTGGCAGAAATTTGCCAAGTTCTGGTGGTAGAACACCAGCATTTTAATCATGGTTACATTTGTTGCTTGTGCACCATTTCTCCCGCCAAACCTTCCATTAATATGCTTGAACACTTTTCAGTAACAGATGTCTCCAGAAAAACTATCTAACCAGCACTCTTTTTGATCATGTAGATGACATTGCAACTAGGGTTGCAACTAAATATTTAGCAAATCGATTGATCTGTCAATCATTTATTTTGATTGATCAATAGTCAGAGAGCCAAAGGTTTCTTAAAGCACTTTTTAAGACATTAAACCAGATGAAAATAAAACATTTCCACCTGAGGAGGTTTGGATAGAGAATATTGACAGATGGAAAATATTTGTTTTATCTTAAATGCAAAATGTTTATATATATATATATATATATATATATTTTACAATCTGGGATTATTAGTGCTCAAAGCGGGTTGCTCTGTCAGCTAAAGGCAGGCTTTAGAGTCTCTAGACTCCAGTTGATGATTGATTACTAAATTAGTTGACAATAATTTCAATAATCGATTAATCATGATTAATCAGCCCCAATTGCAACATTTTTGTATTAAAAACCAGTCCCATCAAAACAAATACCTCAACTTTTCGTAACTCTGGGGATCAGTTCTCATTTAACCAAACTTTAGCTCACTAATATATATAATGAATACATTGCTTAGAAGATACAATGTCAAATATGAGAAAAAAAACAACCAACATTTGCCCAAAAACTGTAATGGCAAAAATATATTTTTTTATATTAATAATCAATGAAAACGCTTTTCATTGAAATCAAAGAAAATGTATCAAAATTGCTCCCAGGCCTTTTGCATATCTCTACAGATATCTTTGATTTTATGCAAATAATTGAAGTTCACTGAAATTAATTTATAGCTTAACCATTTACAGACTGTTGGATTTACATTAGCAGTAGGTAATAATCATAACCTATACTTTAATAATCAAATAACAAATGTCACTTTAGTAAAAGTATAAATTATCATTTACTAAAATAAGTTTGCTGTACAGTTACTGAATATCAAACTTTATATAATGTTTTAAAAAAAAAATTTTAATGACTTGAAACGCACACCGCTTATACAAATACTGGTTTAATTTTATTTGCAATTTAAAATTTCATACAAGATAAAAGGAAAAATCTGCCTGAACATTGTAGGTATGACTGCAACTCTAGAATAGATATGATGCACTGGCAGGATGGCCAGACCCAAGATGAAAAACGGGAAGATTTCAAGTAGAAACAAACCATGAGGATTTGACATGTTAAAAAGTTTCAGAACAGGAGCTACAAACTGGTTCTGTAATTATACACATGGCAAAGCTTTCATGTTGCAGATAATCATTCAAAACAAGACAAGATCCCTTCTGAGAGAGACATGCTGAATCGATAAACGCCATCCACCGTCACGCTTGAATATAAATCATATTTTAGTGATCCTTTCTATGAATTTAAAGATTTCCAATTATATATGGAACATATTTTCACCTGAAAATGAGCTGCCTATGTTCTCAATGAGCAGCTCGGTCAGGCTAACGCCCTAATTTGGACTACAGACGTTAAAATCAGCAGAGGAACATGAGCTGTATTCAAGCTTGATTAGATTTTTTTTTTGTAGTGGTTTCGTGAAACATGAAAGAGAAACTTTGAGACTTTAATTTTACCATTTGTATGGTTTGACAAATCAGTATTGAGAGATAAAACAAGATAAAAAAAATCTATTATACCAATTGCTAAAAAAACAAAAACAATTAAAAGGATGGGCTACCCAAAACATCTGCATGCAAACACACCTCATACATCTGTAATAGCCAAAAACATAAATCACCGGCTGTACTCTTTTCATCGCCGATTTTCTGTGACAAACCAAGAGACAGCATTTTCCTCTGGCTTTTACAAGCTCCCTTTTAAAGAGAAGATTGAGATATATCTGTAACAAGGTCTTAATAAGACAGATGCTGAGATTCGCTAGGTGGGCACAGTGATACTGCGAGCCAGAAGTGCCAGCAAGGCAATTTCCACCACTCCGTTGGCTTGCTCAAGGGCCTCCACAGCCTCCCTGGCAGAAAAACCTGCTGCCTGGATTCTCTGGATGTGCTCGGCTGGGAACTGTCCCATAGAGGGAGGTGGAGGAGGTGGGGCAGAGGAGGACGAGGTGCTTGAAACGTCCCCTGGTATGCTAACAGCTCCTGATGCAGGGCTAAGGAAAGCTTGCTCAGTCTGGAGAGTATCTGGGGTGCCAGTACCAGAGGCTCGTCCATCTGCGATCCCTCTTCCATGCTGCCCCTCTGGCGGCTCCCTGAACTCAGGAACCAGTGCAGGACTGGGAGGAACCTCCGAAGCACCAATAACACAGGTTGCTTCTCTATCCTGTTGGGCTCTGTCCTCTGAGCTGTCTGGGTGCTGCTCTGGGTGTAGCCCTTCCCCTGTTTCTGCTGCATCATCATGCAAATGATCGACCTTAGCAGCTAGGCCAAGCACAGGACACTGAGGTGGTTCTTCATCAAACTCAGCAGCAGCATGGTTAGCTTTGGCATCACTTGTTTCAGCACCAGCTGCATCAGTTGGAGGAGCAGGGCGGCTGCTTTCTGTTGGGGTGCTGGGCTCAGGGGATGCTTTGTCAGAGTCCTGTGCATGCGGATCGGATGGGGAGCAGGACATGCTGCGACTCTGGGATCGCACCAGCAGCTCATGGAGCTCCTTCAATGCGGCCGCCAGAGAGGGGATGCTGTCAGAGCTGGAGCAGCGGTCTCCATCCGGCTGCTCGCTCTCCTCGGAGGTAGAGGGACACTCCATTTCAACTGACTTGGCCTCACATTCAGTTGCCCCCTGATCCATGGGCTGTTCAGGCAAACACTCCTCTGGTGTCATTTGTACGGAGCTGCTCTCCCCCCCCTCTGACTCTGTGGCTGCGGGCAGCTGTTCATGGCCTGGGTCCTGGGACTCAGCGGAGGCGTTTGTGGGAGGGGTACATGTACGGAACATATCCGATGAAGGACTGGGAAGATTAAGTTTGTTTTGGAGAGGCAGAGGATGAAGAGGGACACTCTGAAGCGTAGAAGCCTCCTTTTCTGGGGATAAAGATTGAAGAAGCTCTTGAGGCGCCGGCTGCATGGTGGCCGGCGCAGACTGGGAGCGATCCAGGGTCGGGTTTTGTGATTGACAACTAGAAGGATTTTGGGAAGATGAAGAGGGTATGGCCACTTGATCTAATGGTCTTGGTAATTTAAATGGCAGGGGCTGCGGTGAGGTAGTTTGTCCATCTGCAGTGTCTATTATAAGAGAGAATATAAATGGAAATCATCATTTTGAACCACATCTAAAACAAACTCATGAATGATTGCAATTTTTACAATTTAAATGTTGTAAACTAGAGAAATAAGTAAATATACAGACAACAAACCACCCAGCAGCAAATAATAAAAAAACAAACTAAATGATTCAACAGCAATGGACTTAGCTCTGGCAACGGTCTTGTGAGATTGCAGTACCTGGTTGGTAGGGCCCTCTTCAGCTGTGTCCAAATGCATCAGTGCTGTCCTGCTCAGGGGTTAGGGGCACACAGCACACACATCATGCAAAGGGACGGAGAAAGTTAGCAGTCACACACAGAGCATGCAACCAAACCAAACTGTCGGCCTTTTCACACAAATCAGATGTGAAAAGTGTCTTCTGAAAACATCTCCAGCAAGGCCCAGGTTCTTATTTGGAATATTCACAAACTCATCAGTCAACTGCAGGAGCTCCTGAATGAGGTCACCTTAGCTGAATAGTTCATTTTTTTCAAGAGAGCAAAATCTTCAAACAGGAGGACAATTTTTTTTCCCCTCTAATTGATGAAAGCCTGATTTCCCTTTTTTAGAAACGTAATGCCATAAAAGCTTTGTCTTTTTGGTGCTTATTTTGGTACCAAAGGCCAATGTTAAGTATAAAAACATCACTTTATCCAAAGCTATAGGCAAATGACTTCATTCATCTACAGTTGACCATCGTTTGTTGTTCAGCAGCAGTCAAATCTTTTAATAATTTCTGACATGTTTCCACTGACTCCAGTTAGGACACTTTCAAAACATTTATGTTCCTTCCAGGCAGACGAAACATGTTCATAAACTAATATATTACTTAAAATCTCAAATTAACATTGGGTTGGCCAATTATACATACTTTTGTATGTAAGTTGATTTAAGAAAAATAAACATAAAATTCTAATTTTACACCCGGTTCTAGTTTCTGAGTCAGTCAAATGGTGGAATCAGTCCAGCCTACATAAAAATGCTTCTAATGCATTTTTTAAAATCCCCAAAACCACATAATCACGCCTATGATACGTAAACGGAGTTTTACTTCTTACCTGTTCTCTCTTGAACTTTTATCATTTAATGCAGGGAGATTTTAGAGTTTACCACCAGTATATTCAGTATGAACCATTTAATTTACTCTATTCTTCATTATATATTTCACCAATAATATTATTTTAAGTAAAGAAAAAATATAAATAAATAAAATAAATAAATACACATGTAAATGTATAACTGCATAAATATAAAAAAGATCTTGAAAATTTTGACTAGTATTTTACTATTTATGTTTTTATCTGTGTATTTTATCCTTCTTTGTATATTTATACATTTATTTATTTCTACTTTTACCTATTTATATATTTGTACATTCTTTTATTTATTTCTTCCCACATTTGTTTCTGTATTTCTACATTGTCACATACATTGTCAATCGTTTCCACGGTTTATCCAATTGTTAGAACCATCCACCTCATTAACATATGAAGACAGAAATGTATGGCGTCAAGATTCTGCCAAAAGTCCCTACTTGCAATATATATACTCCTGTGAGCAGCTTTACTTCATACAGAGACCAATAAACTTTTATTTGAAGTTTCATTTTGAACAACATCTAAAAATCATGAATGATTGCAATTTTATTCATTGCAATCATTTTTAATTTTTAATTTTTTTTTTACTTGCTTTGATTCCGTTTTATTTTCCTATATTTTAATTAGGGATGCACAATATAATCGGCCCCCTATCGGTATCGGCCTGTATCGGCCTTAAAACTGAATATCGGACATCGGCCACCCCACCGATATTTAACCCGATATTTGATCAGCTTCTGAGTTTCTAAAGTCTAAAAAAAAACAAAAAAAAAAAAACAACTTCTTCTTCTTCCTCAAAAACTTATTTTTTAGAGACT